GGGGGGGCGGAGGAGGGAGGGAGGGGGTGACTATCATCTGAGCTGCGGACTCAGAAGCTCCCCCTATGTGAAGGCATTCCCGCCTGTCTTCACGGCTCGCTCTACATCCTCCTCTGACTTTTTCGTTTCTTTCACAAAGTGAAGCTAAAAAGAAAAAAAAAATGACCAGAGACACCGGAAGTTGTGCTCCTGTGATGACACGGTGACAGAAGTTAGTGTTTGTTTCAGAGAAGCTCGACTCCGGTAACTGTCACACATGTCTGCGGAAACTTTTTCTCCTGAGATGGAAGAAGGTCCGAGACGAAGCTGCCGTTCGAAGACTCTCCGGTTCTACCGTCCGCGGGTGAGTGGATTCGAACGGTTTCATGTTGTTCCTTCACAGTTTGAAACTTTAACTTTTACCAGTTAATCCAGTCAACGACGTCTGTGATGACGTCAAACCCTCACTGAAGTCTAACATGTTGCAGTGATGTGTGACCAGATGTACATGGGCTCTGAGCCGTTCGTTTCACAGAATGACGTAACATTAGAACAGCCGTCAGTCTGAACACATCCTGCCTCAGAACCGCGTTTTTGTTCCGTTAGTCTTTGGTCTCGACCCCAGAATTACGAAATGATCCAGAGCAGAGCCGGCTCTAGCTATTCTGTGGTCCAGACCTGATTATGGGCTGTGTATAGTCCCCCCCCCCACACACACTAAAGGCCAACAGCCTGATGAAGTTGGTAGTAGTTGATGGAACAGGGCAACACACCAACAAACGTACATGAATAACAATCAAATTAAAATAAAAAAAATCAACAAACTCCTGATCAGGTTGTGTTTCTAAACGCAGACTGGGCTGTATGTTTGAATGGAGAACAGGTCAAAGGTCATTACTGTTGACTGTCTCAGAGATGAAGTGTTTTCTCTGCAAAATGAAATATGTCCCTCTGTGTTGAAGCAGCTCACCAGTTTCACCCTGCTGGTCACTTTTGGTATTTTTCTGAGGACCTCACAGAGTCTCCCAGTGTTTGTGTTGTTTTCTCTCCTGATGCTGACGATCAAACCTGGGTCAGGGTTGAGTGTCGGCAGAGAACGACTGAACCCAGGTTTAAGTTCCAACTAATTCATGAAAACTCGTTTTTGTGGGCCGACTTTTTTTAAGTTTGACATAAATTACCCAGCAGGCTCAGAGGCCTTCGACATACGTTTCCAGCACGAGTGAAGAGGCAGGTTTCTGAGACCGTGCTGAGAGCTGCGTTGGTGTGTGGTTTAAAGACTGCAGCGACGTCTAACAGAGAGAGAGAGAGAGAGAGAGAGAGAGTGGGCTGAGCTGCAGGTTGCAGTTAGGAAGGTTAAGAAACAAAAGAAAATGTCGAAAGACAAAGTTTGAAGAGAGAGGAAAAAAAGAGGAAGAAAATCAAGTGTAATATTATTAAAATATGAAGTTTGCTGTGGCTGCAGTGCAGTGGGTGACCAAGCACACGGACTAGTGAACTTAAAAAAGGAAATCATTTGATTATTTTAGTTTGATGTTGAAAAAACCATTTGGCTTTTCTAACTTTTTGGTTTTGCTTTTTTTGCATGTCAGGAAGTGGTGCTGCTCTCTCTCTGAGTGACGTGATGTCGTGGGGTGAGTTCATCGAGCTCCGTGAGCTGCGCACAAACAAAGATGAGACGAAGCCGATGGACGCTCATGTCCCCTGCTCGCCGCCTCGTCTGGAAAGAACCAACGCTCTTAGAATCAGCCCGGGGAAAGTCCCAGACATGCTGAGCCGCGTGGGCATCATCAGAGTTCTGAGCAGTGCCCACGACCCGCAGCCCACAGAGGAGAAAGGAGAGGGACACAACTTCCAGCCCTGCAGCCACGCTCAGCCCACGTGGTGCGACCTGTGTGGAGACTTCATCTGGGGCCTGTACAAGCAGAGCCTGCGGTGTGTCAGTGAGTGGACTGCTCTGGTCTCTGTCGGCGTGTGTGTGTGTGTGTGTGTGAGACGAGAGGTGACAGGAACCATGACAGAAAGGTGTCACTGGTACGGCCCTGGTCTGTGTGGTTTTGGTGTGAAGACATATCTTCTCATCAACACGTTCTTTCTGCAGCATTTTTTAAACTAATAAAAAAAAAGTCAATCCTATAATATTACATTTTGGATTTCATCAGGTTTAGTGGTAGATTATAAATATTGGATTAAATATGTTAATGTCACATTTGTCTGTCTAGAACAGTGATACCAAACCACTGGGTCGTGGCCCCCTAGTGTACAGCGAGAGATCGTTTGGTTTGCCGTGGAAAATGATCCCATTTCACTTCATTGGTCTGAAAACTATTATTTATTTATTGCAGATAATTTCTCGTTGCTCGTCAAAGCCTGAAAGACAGAACAATTGAATTAAATAAGAGCGCACTCTGCTGGATTTCACAGTAACTGCTTTGGAATGTCTGTGTTGTGCCTTACAGGTTTAAACCCCCTCCTCCCCCCAGTCCTACTTTAAATGCCACCTTTTATTACTGCCCCTGCCCTCCCCTGATTCTTCGCCCCCGACAGTTTCACACACTAACATTTGTCCTGTGTATTTACAGACTGTAAATTCACGTGTCACTATCGCTGTCGTGCCCTGATCCAGTTGGACTGCAGCTGGGACGGAGGCTCAGTGTCTGACCAAACATGTGTCCTGGAACACACCGTAGAAACAGACACCGATGTGGTAAGAACCATTCCTATTGGCTAATAAACTTAACTGTAGAACCTATTATCATTTGACTAGACTGAGATATTTCTCAGTATAAAACTATAAATAAACCGTGAGTTTGAAGCCTTTATTAACCGTTTGACAAACAGTGGAGTTGATGATATAGAAGTGAGAAACCATGGCCTTTTCATGTAAAGTCATTTTGTTTTTTGTTGTGTCTTTACCGACAACAAGAGGAACAAAGAAAAATGTTCTTCCACTTCCACAAACTGCACAGAGTCAGATGAAAAAACGTGACTGGACCCTCTGTCCTGATAGTGATCAGACGGGTGGTTCCGGAAAAGGTTGGGTTGAGGGAAGATGTAAGAGGAAGTTCACTGGGCAGGAACACAGAGGTTTGAGGGTTTGTTTCCAACACCAACAGGAACCAAGAATGACACGTGTTTCATAATCAAAAATAGATCATACAAATTAACGAACCTTATATCATTGAACGTTTGGATTCTTCTGATTCTCTGGTGTTTACACCCAGGTTTGGATTCTTCTGATTCTCTGGTGTTCACACTCAGAAGAATCCTACAGACCTGGGGATGTTCTGAGCAGCAGGGTTTATGGTCTTGGTACTGGATATCACTGACTCTGGATCAGGTATCAGAGAAGGAATGTTAACACTTTTCAGGAGGCGATGACATCATCGGCCTTTTCTCTGCTTTGCTCGTTTTTCACAACAGACACTGAGAGTTGGAAAAAACAAATGCAGGTGGAACTGATCACACTGACAAAATAAAAATGTACAAGAATAAACCTAAAATGGTCAGAGATAATTTGGGACACGTGAGGTCATTAAGTGACATCAACAGAAATGAAACCTGATTTGTTGAAGTGCATGAAACAGGATGGAACTAGTCGTTACCATGTACCTTGTACCAGTGGTTGGTGGGCCGGATTAGAAAGCCCAGCGGGCCATATCTGGCCCATGGGCCGTAGTTTGCCAAGCGCTGTTACGTGTTTTTACCATACGTGATGAAGAAGACGAAGGTTCACAGCTCTGTTCTAAAGGCTTGAAGTTGACATAAGCTGTTACATGTGTTTTTACCACACGTGATGAAGAAGACAAGGAGTAAAAACAAAGAGGTGACAGGAACGAGGTTAGAGAGAGGACGTCTACTGTCCTCCAGAAGACTAGTGTGTCAAAGCCTGTAGTCCATCAGTGGACGTCGTTGTCAGAGTCATGAGGGACACTTCAAAGGATCCTTTGAGAACATCCATCTTTTCATGTGGTTCGCCTTGAAATGTGACCTCCAGTCTGAACACAACCTCACATGACAAAAACACGCTGCTCCAAAAGGACTTGGTTTTTTCCTCTTGTTCGTCTGAGATTTTAGTTAAAGTGATTTTTATGGTTAAATTAACGTGGTCCTCATTTACACGCAGTACCAGGGTTAGACCACCGGACTAAATCAGAGGGAATGTTTTTTCATTTAATCATTGATCGTCCATCACTAGTTATAGTTAATAAGTAATGTATTCAACCAGAACATGTAGCATGTTCTGTAGATCCATACTGTGGGCATGACGTCATAATAAATTCTGAATGGACTTTGTTCTGTTGAAAAGAACAGTGTTTTCATCGTTGACTTACAATTAGTCCAACAATGGATGACATTGTGACAGTTCCAGCTGAGAGGACAGTGACGTTTGAAAGTCAACAGAGCTGATGCATATGTATACATTTGATTTTAATTTTCATCTTTTTTTTTGTTTGTCTCAGAAACCACATTCTAACCAAATGTCACTGACTGGTTGTCAAACTAGTCCAAATGTGCAAAAACAAATGAGTAATTAGTAATAAACCTGTGGATGTGACTGTATTTTTCCAGGCTGTATGAACCAGGCCTGGCTGTAAAGTTGAAACATGGTTTTCTAAATCTCACAGTAAAACACTGAAACCAACTGTTCAATGTTCACACGGTCACACAGAGCCGTTATTATCACACGCTCCACTCGGCCCGGAAGGAGCAGAGGCTGTGTTTCCGGACACTTTGGCATTTCCGGTCGCCATCCAATCACGACAGAGCTGCGCGGGTTTGTGTATTTTCTAAAGTCGGGCCAACGGACGAGGGCGGAGCCTCGACTTTACACAGCGGGGGAGGGAAAAGCGGCGTCCAGGGCGGGGGTCTGACTACTTCCTGTTTCACACACAGATTTCACTGTTGAAACGTGGCCGGTCGCCGCAGTCGTAGAGGAAAAAAGCGAAAAGATTAGCTTAAAAAACAGTTTATTTTACCGTTTACACTTTACATTCGTCCGAAGTAACTGTCGGTGAACGTTAACACGAGTGTCTTTGATTTGTTCCGTTAATTAACGGCCGCAGTTTAAACTAACTGACGCTAAAAGAAGCCGTAGCTCGAGGTGTCGTTTAATTTCCTTAGAGTGAGTTAAATTGTTGGCATCATGTCGAACGACGCGAACAACGGCAGCAGCTCCGACAAAACTCCTTCGTTCGAAATGACCTGGGGAAGTTCCACCAGCAGCGGCTACTGCAGCGAGGAGGAGTCGGACTCCGAGTTCGAGCAGTACTTCACCGCCCGAACTTCGTTCTTCCCCAAAGCACGGACTCCTGTCGTCAGTGTTAAAAAGGTGAGAGTGAAAAACCACAGATACAGTCGTGAAAAAAGCTGAACTTCGTGCTGTTTAAAAGTGTTGCGCTATTTAAAAAAAGGGGAAATAAAACGGTGAGGTGGCTGATGGGTGCTGGAGCAAAACTCTTCACAGGGATAGAAACAGTGATACAGAAACTAATTAGCATTAATTGAACCTTTAAAGAGTTGTAATATAAAGTTTTTCTGTAATTTGTCACGGAATGACATTCCTGGTAAATTTTCACAATTGCCACAAGGGGGCGCCAGTATCTCCTTAGTTATTTCAGGACTGCGCTCAACAAAAAATATTCACTTCAATGTTTCATCAACTTATTTTGCAACTTTTTGGAGGGTGTGTAGATTTTTTTACGTTATTAAATGCATAACTTTTAAAATATTGCGATAAGATTTCGAGTGTTACTCGTCGACATATTTGACCATTTACGGTGTTACTCTGACGTTAATTGTTAACTCGCTTCCTCCCCCTCGTTGTCTGCTCCTCTTCACTGTGTGGTGTTATCAGTCTGTTTGGGGAAGATCAGATGTCACGGTGAACTGTCGGGTTGGTCCTGTTCGAAGTTCCTTCAGTAAACATGCCGTGTGTATGTCAACCACACCGAACTCTCCTGCCAAGTGAACTGGGCGGAGTTCTGGTTCGTCTGGTTTCAAGACTCGAGTTGTTTGAATTTCATAAAAAGCAGGTCAGGGTTTGAAACCATGATTGTTTTCCTGACTTTTAAGAAATAAGATGGAAAGGACAGTTGACAACACCCTATTTAACTGACCAATAACATCGTTAGGTTTTAACAGCCACAGCTGAACTGAGAGAATACAAATGTCATGTTTGTTGACTCACGAGCGCCCTCTCAGGTTTCCAGCTCACACCCACGATTAATCTACTCCCTCGTATCGCAGGTTTTCACACACTTTTCTATATCTAATATTAGTCATCATGGTGTGGGTTTCTGACCCCCCCCCGGAAGTATCATCTCCACAGAACAAACAGTGTTGATGGTGAAACACTGGATGATGACATTTCTTTTCCAGTTGTTGTTGCTGACACATCATTAATTGTTGACACTCCTTTTTGCTGTCATGAGACACAGATTGTGAGGTTTTTTTCCTACTGTTTCCCAGCCTGCCCCTGGTGGTGATTTATTGTCATCTTAACAGCAGCACATTAACTCTGCAGTCACTCAACTATTGATTCAAAAACAGTCAATAAGTCAATAAGTAACCCTCCATCCACTTTAATGCTGTAGACTTTAGTCTAAGGTTTGTTTATCAGGAGGTGGACGTGTGCTGTACCAGTGTTTTCCTCCTGTGTTCCTTTGGTTCGTGATGGACACAGAAGTGTTTCTGCTTCTGATAGAGAAAGAAAGATAAAAAAACTGAGGTTGACGTTGAGTGGACACAGGAAAGGGTGAGTTAATGGTCCTGCAGCCAAATGTGCATGACTGAAACATGACTGAAAAATGACTGGGAGTGTGTGGTTGATGAAGCAGCTGACTGAACAGGATGTGGGGCTAATACAAGGGAGGGCATTATGTCTCCCACTGGTGAGAGCTGCAGTCAGGGAGGCTATTTTTACATGAGTACCAAGTTGAGGAATGCAGCTGAGAACCATTGGTCACAGTCACTGGAGGCAGCTGCACGTCCTCCCAACACACACACACACACACACAGCCTCCCTCCACCCTCCGGCTGCAGGGATCTAAAACTCCAAACAGGATTGGTCAGCGCTGACATCATCGCTTTTGCTGCTGCTTCGTTGTCAGGAGGTTGAGTCTGATGCAACTGGTGCTTCAGCGACTGAACTTAACAAAGTTTTTATTGTCACCAGATTTGTGTGTTTCTTATCATATGACACAAAAAAAACAGCCGCCTCCTCAGGGCCCAGAATGGAACTGACTCAAAACCAAGTTTTAAAATCATTAAAATACAAAAAACTGACAAAAAAACAAAACTCTCCATGTCTAAGATTCAACTTTTTAGTTTAATTCTAAAGACAATGTCCAGCGTCAAACACATCCTCATTGTGTATCCGCACTGACATCTAGTGGTTAAACTCTGCATCTCACTCCCCCTACAGGATGAGAAAACTGAAAGTGGAAAGCAGGAGTTGACGACTGCAGCCGTTCAGCAGAAGGTGAAGGACTACAACACCCAGATCAACAGCAACCTCTTCATGAACATGGTGAATATTGATTATTGATCTGCCCTCGTCCAAACATGTTCACTCCAAGAGCGTTTGCACTTTCAGTTTGAATGTTTCTGTTGTTGACAGAACAAGGACGGCTCCTACACCGGCTTCGTGAAGGTGCAGTTCAAGCTGGCTCGCCCCGTGTCCGTTCACTCCGCCAAGAAAGGAAGTCACGACGGTGGGGGGAAGAAGGGGGCCGGCGTCAAGCGTCGAACCTCGTTCTACCTGCCAAAAGATGCATCCAAGCACCTGCACATCAGCTCTCGCACCTCTGCCCGTGAGGTCATCGAGGCTTTGCTCAAAAAGTTTACGGTGGTGGACAATCCTGGGAAGTTCGCTCTGTTTGAGCGAAGCGAGCGTCACGACCAGGGTAGTTAGAATTCCTCCACATCCTTCTGTTTCACAAAAGTCACTTTTTAAATCGTTGAATTCCTTTATTTTTTTTTCTGTTTCACAAAAGTCACTTTTTAAACTGTTGAATTCCTTTATTTATTTTTTCAAATGAATGATGTTTTCTCCATCTCCCCTTCAGTTTATGTCCGTAAGCTGTCTGACGACGAGAGGCCACTGCGTCTCCGTCTGAACGCTGGACCCAGTGAGAAAGTCCTGACTTTTCTGCTCAAAGAAAATGAAACCGGAGAAGTCAACGTGAGTGCGACCGAGACGTTTGACTAAAGAATCTGACGGGTTGAAACTGTACGTTAACCAGTGTTGTTTTCTCTGCACCTGCAGTGGCACGCCTTCTCCATGCCAGAGTTGAAGAACTTCCTGCGTATTCTGCAGCGTGAAGAAGAAGAACACGTCAAGCAGATAGTGCAGCGGTACGCTCTGGCCCGCACCAAGATGCAGGAGGCTCTGGCTGGATCCACGCCTGGCTGAGACGCATCCGTGCCGGGGATTACACGTGCACTTCTTGGCTGGACCGTCCCTTCAAAGATGACCAGCTGTTGGTGCATCAGAACATCCCAGAGAACACAACGCAAAACGCCTCTTAGGTGAACGAGAGAATGTTCTCCAGCGTAAGACACTGAGAAAGAGAGAGAGAGAGAGAGAGAGAGCTGGCGCTAATGTGCGTGTGATGATGTGAGAGATGAGAAGTGCCTTACACCTGGAGAGCCTGATGTGCCTGAGAGTATGAGTGGAGAGAAATGACGATGGCAGATGAGACTTTGGTTCGACTCCTACAATAATGATCCTGTACTTCAGCTGTGTTACTGAGGCTTTAAAGAAAATGTGAACGGTGGAACCTTTAACCTTTAACCTTTCGTTAGATTAGACTACAGTAATTTAGAAATAAAAAAACCGGTGGAACCTTTAACCTTTAACCTTTCCTTAGATTAGACTACAGTAATTTAGACACAAATCATTACATCATAATCAATAAAACAGCCCTTTGAACCAGATTAAGCCCTGACCCTGATGGAGCCACCATCATCTTCACCTCATCTTCACATTTTCATGGCTGTCGTCCCAAAGTCAAACACAGACTCACTGCTGCAGCAGGGATTTGGATTTGTTATTGGTCCCAGTCTCAAACGTTTGCCACGTCCTCTCCGCACCCTTTGTGGGTGAAGTTTTTTTTTTTTTTTTTAACTAGTGCTTCTACTAGTTATGTGTGTGTGACAACTGTGTGAAACGATGTCAATCTGGTCGACTGGAAACACGAATGAACGAGTTTACTGCAAACTGTCATTCCTTTCATGTTCTTTCCATCCTGTCTGTCCTCAGAGGCAACTGTTTGTCTTCTATTTTTCAATCTTTTCATCGTCTTCATTTATGCACATATTTACATGTTGTAGCTGTCCTGAAAACACAGGACAAATGTGCACTTCTTTCAGTAAAGGATTTTACACTTATTACAAGTTTTTGCTTTTTATTTTTTAGAAGCTGTTGCATCCTATATTTTTGGGACTCGACCCAAATGATTCGAATCCCTAGAAACCAACGGCATCACATGTATTTTCATGAAGATGCAAGAAGAAAAAAAATGAAGTAAAAGCTTTTTAGAAAAATCATCCTTGTCTTTTTATTTTTCTGTATCGCAGTTTGTATTTAACCCCTGGTCCTTTAAAAGACAAAATAAATGTAACGATAAAGTAACACCCTGTGAAATATTACATCTGTACCGCAGTGTAGCTTTAAGTGACCGCTGATCTGTGTTCGATCAGCTGATCAACAACAGCTGATGCTAACGTCGGCACCGTTAGCTGCAGGCTGCAGATTATGGCAGGAAACTATGGAATAAAAATGTCTTAAACGGTAGGATTCTGATCTGCAGTCGTTCGTTTCTATAACGGTTACGTTCATAGTAGTGAACGTAACCGTCGTTGTTCCGGAGAAACTGCCTTATTTGGTTTGTGCGTCAGTGGCACAAGCTAACATGCTAACTTATTCACACTAGAGTCGGTGTAGGTTTTAACACCAAATACATGTTTGTCATATGAAAATAATGTGCGCGTAAAAACGGAGAAACAGTAAAAGTGTCTACAAATGCGTGCACACGTGTCAAACTTTGAACAAGTGACGTTCGCTTGTTTTGACCTGACCGTTAGCTGTGTAGCTAGTTAGCATCAGCAGAGGTTGTACCTCCGGTCCACAGTCCTGTACTGTTGTGTTACATTAGCAGATAAAGGATTGTACGACTGTTTTTCCTCTTTTTTTCTGAATGTTTGAGATGTTTCTATATCAAGATATATGGCATTTGTTGTGACTAAAATAGAAACCTTTCTCTCACAGGGTATTTATTCATTTTAATGACATTTTTAAATGCAAAAATGTCTTACGTTTTTTAATTTTATGGTGTATTTTTCCCTAACACCGGGTGAGCTGTGTTTGTTCTGGCTTCATTTAAATCACAATTATCATTCCACTGTACTTTAGTCCTGGGCCGGGGTGCTCATATCGCCCTCTGCTGGTACAAAGGTGAGCCTACACGCTGAACCTCGTTTAGCACAGTTTTATGTAGGTAAGGTGCTGTAGTGCCAACTAGTGGACAGAAACGTGATATTTTTTTCTTTTCTGATTAGAAGACATTCCTGTGGTGAAGATGTGATGACGTCATACATGTGCTGTGTCTCTGTGTACTTCTACTTGTCAGACTCTGGCTTTGGCGAGGATTTGAACTCATCAGACCTCCAGCCAGACTGAAAAAGCTTATCTGAAGACTAACCATGTGTTATCTTTGAGAATGGGAGGGAGCGGATCCAAAGCCAAAGGAGCCTGGTTGTTCCCAGGCACCGGAGCGGGAGGAGAGTCGGCCAGCGATGGGAGTGAACAGTCTTTGGCTCGACTTAAAGGCTCCAGAAATGCTACACCGTTTGTTTTTACTAGAAGAAGGTAAATGTACCACCCTGAAACGTGATGTCACGACGTTTTAATGCTGTTTAATAAAGGTGAGAACGTAGACCAGGGGAAATGGGAATGACTGAACGGAAAGTTTCCCAGTAGAAGCTGACAGAGGACGTTGGCGTTCCTTGTCGGTGACCTCACCCTGAAGGTCACCAGAGTTTCCTCAACAACAGAGAATGTGTCGTGCTCAGCAGCTCTTTGTGTTTCCACAGATAATGTCGCGGCTCGTAGATAACCAACACTCACTGCTGTCAGCAGTTTTCTCTCTCTCTCTTTTCCTAAAACTGTGACAAGTGAAGGAACAGGAATTCAGATTTTCGAGTGTGACCTGGTGAGGTCGCTGCGGCAGGAATTCTCAGCTGGAAACACAGATTACAGAGATGTTTAGACTTTTTTTTTCCTTTTTAAATGACAGTCCTTTTGATTCAGTCCCAAACTGATCGTATCTGTGTCGGCAGTTCTCTGTTCTACGATGAGGACGGCGACCTCGCACATGAATTTTACGAAGAGACTGTGGTGACAAAAAATGGCCGAAAAAAGTTCAAGTTGAGGAGGATCCAGAAGAATTTGATTCCACAGGTTTGTTGTCGTCGTCACGGTGATCCTGATTGTTTTGAATCTTAACATTTAAATAAAAAAAAAACCCAAATGTTCTTCCGTTTCAGGGGATCATAAAGCTGGACCTCCCCTGTATCCACGTGGACTTTCCCATCATCCTCTGTGAGCTTTGAGGCGTTGCACAGGACTGGAGTCAGACGACAGGTTCTCACCCCCGGGGGGGGGGGC